GGACAGTTATGTCAGGATGCATCTCACTCAGGTAAACTGTGGAAAGGAAAGTCGAACTTTTCTTGTTAGTGCCGCATTTGAGCAACAGTGTTATTAATTTAGCCCAAGCTGTCCTTCTTTAGAAGGCACAGAGGGACTGCTGTAACAGTACAGTTAACAGTGAAGAAAAGAAATTCCATGTGATGGTGGAATATTTATAGCATAGACATTTCAATGGAAAATGTCTACTTTCATAGAAAGTTATGATGGAAATTCTAATCATGATCAACAAAAATATCTGTATTGGTATTTGATATTCTTGATACTCCTTTATCTCTTAAAAATTTTTACTTGTATATGTCCATGTACAGAAAGGAATAAATGGCTCTGGTTTTCAAGTAAAAATAATCTAAGATTCAGATTTTAAAAGAGAGAATTTAAAAAGTGTATGTTTATATTATATTATATTATATTATATTATATTATTTCATATTTATTATATTTATTATGTTGTATTATTATAGTCTCAGCATTTAGTAACCATATGTGGACAGCATTTGAATATTCATTTGTCGAATGGTGAGGAATGGCAAAAGAAAGGATTCTTGATTGCTTGTGAGAATCAATTATAATGACTTACTCCTTACATTTGAATTTAAATGTCAGAAGAGACTTTGTCCAAACTTCTAGTCACTGCAGTTAAACACAGATATAAAAAAGAAATACTTTGATTCTATGAGGGTTTTTTAATTAGAACTTGAATTTTGAGCACTGATTGCCATGAAGTGATCTGACATGGTTACTGTAATCCAGCATCCATGTGTTCACAGACATACTGGAATGAATCAAGCCAAACTAACCACCTGTGGCTCCAGCTGAAATAAGGAGAAGTCCTGTCTCCCCAGCCAGAGAAGGTTGTGCAAACTGAGCAGCTAATAAAAACACCAGCATCCTTCCTCCTAAAACAGGGATCATCCTGGCATGATTTTTCCTAACACCCCTATTATCAGTTATTTGCATTTCATAGCTTCCCTCAAAACAACAATTACTCTACTTTTTCTGATCCAAACCCCAATTTTATCTCAGCTTTATTCAAGCAAAATTCTCCCTGCAGCCACAAAGATAGATCAAACTTGGCCTACGCTTTCTGTAAATACATTTGTTATTTGAGTTGCACGCTCAGAGAGCTTTAAATTCCAGAAAAATCAGGCCTTGCCAAATGTAGTAGACAGGCTGGAAAAAATATGAGTGAGTGGCTGCAAACATGCTGCATTCTGAATATCGAAAATGTGGCTTTGGCATTGCAATTCGAGAGAACCCAAGTGAAACCAAATAAAAAATCACAGATAAGACCAACTTAATGATCTCAGTGCTCACATGCATAGGCATCTTGGCCCTGGCTGCCACTGAGAATGCTGAGCAAAGAAGTCCAAAGGATTTCAAGAGGGGAAAAAATGCAAATGGTTCTACACCCTCTGCCACTCAATATGTTGCTCTGATAGGTTGTAATCACAGTGTCAAGATTTTTCCAAATACTTAAGCACTCTTCCATTATCAAAATAGAAAATTTCTATTACAGACATCAATTCTGGAAGATGCATCCCAGCACAGTTTATTAAAAATAGAATCTAAGAGAAGAGAACACTATTCCTTGCAGAGGTTAATATTAGGTCCTTTTCCCTGCTTCTTCCTAAGATGTAAAAGGTTAAAAAAGACAAGAGGGGGCAGATGTTAATTTAATACTCCAGCAGCCCAGTTTTCATGCGCTCACTGGGTAGCATCAGCTCAGTGGTGCTTCAGTTTACCATGGTCATAATACACAGCTAATAATGAGGTACCTATGGAAAAATACAGCAACTCTATGCAGCAGCCCCACAGAAGCAGGGCTGGCTACACAAGTACCTGCAGAAAACCCCTGGAGTCCTGGGGTATATCAAATGGAGCACAAATCACAATGGGACTTCACAAGAGCAGCTCTGACTGCAAACCACATTGTGTTCATGGAAGCACAGTGAGCAAACCAAGAGAAGCCATTAAATCTTTTGTTGGCACCTGGAGGTGACATGTGGAATAGAGTGTTTCAGTTTGGACTGCAGGACAGGGAAAACAGAGAGGGGACAGAACCACCAAGGTAATTTGATATGAGAAGAGACAGAAGCTGAGCTCCCTCATGTAGGTGGGAGTGGAGCTAAGTGCTGTCCTCAGGTGGGTACAGAGAACATGAAGCCCCTTCTGAAGGCTGCATAGGAAAGGATGGGAGGCAAAACTTTCAAGGTGAAGCAAAGAAAATTGCAACTTTAAACACTTTGAAAGACACTTTGTAGTGAGAGTGGTTAAGACTGGAACAGATATCTCAGAGCTCTGGATGACTGCAGACATCCAGACATTGTTTCCAGCCAAAGTTATTCTCTGAGTCCATGAAACTCAAGGAATCTCCTACAGCAGAAGACTGCCTGCCCTGTGTCAGGCTGAGCCTCACAGAGACTTGGCCTGGATGGTTTTTCTCAGGAAGAAAGAACAGTCTCAGTGGTTATTCCACACTGCTCTTCAGAAGATAGGAAGCTGGAACCACTGAGAGAGAAAAGATCTATTGAAAGACTGGATCTTCTATGATCTTACGTCATGCAGACCCAGGGACAGCAGACTGTTCACCGTGAAGGGGACCACTTCAGCTATTCTGCAGTTAAAATAGGGCCTGGAGAGGGGGAAATTCCCCTTTCCCTCATGGGATCTCTCTGCATAGATCCTTGCCAGTCAGATTTGGTGTGAAGAGCATAATTTGTTTACTTTGCTGGGAAAGGTTTATATCTTTCCTGTGTGTTAAGTGGCTGAGGACAGTCTTACAGCAAATATGGGCAGGCACTTGTTAGAGCAGTACTTAGCTGAAAGCAAGTAGATTTTGGCACAATCTTCTCTAAAAAAAATCAATCTCTCTTACTCCTCCTTCCCCCAGCCTCAGTGGGAATATCTGATTATAGTCTTTTCACTCAAATTCCACACAGCTCCTCTTTCTTGAGGCCTTTCACACAAAAGCAAAGACTCACAAAGAGCAGACAGGCACCATTGTATCCCTGTGTTCCATGGCAACGTTTTAGCACTCCAAGAGTTTGCAGCAAATCCAAAAGATGTTTCTGTTCTTTATTAATGATGTTTCCCAGCTGTTTCTGGTTGACAAAGAGAGGTCTGGTCCTTCTTTGTTACAGGCTGTCCCCTGCCACTTCAGGGAGCCCCAGAGGGGTTCACACAGAGCTCTGTAATTCAGGCAGCCAGAGCACAGCCCCAGTGAGAGGCTGCAGACAACAGAGCTTGAGCCTGAGGATATCGAGGTACTGCCTGTGCTTGTGCTGTGCTCATATGATGAGAAGAAAGCACAAGTTTAATCATACCTGTGCACAATATATTTGTCTACAGCGATGATACCTAGAAGTACCTCAGGGTTTTGTCTTTTTTTTTTTTTTTTTTTTTTTTTTTTTTTTTTTTTTTTTGTAACAGAACTAGTTCTTCACCCTTTCTCTCTTAGGACATAGTTTTCTTTTAGGGCTTACTTTTCATTCCCTTCAGTAAAGTTTTCATGTCATCTTTCTTCTTCATGCAGTCATTATCTCCTCCTTATCCTGACATGCACATTATGCAAACATGCTTCACATTCACACAAGCCCTGCTCTGAATACATGTATTACTGCCTTCTCTGCAGTGGTTCCAGAGGGGGCTGTGGGTTTGTACAAGAACACAGTGCAAGGCCCAGTGCTCACCACTGTCTACCCTAAGGTTTCCTTTGGATCTTTATCCCTGACTTTGGGCTTGAACTTTGAACTGCTATAGGAATTGTTTCTAGTAGGAACTTTTTGTAGTAGATTCTATCTGCATTTATTCTGTTTTAGATAAAATGGCATGGATCTAGGAATGAAAGTATTGGGAATAACGGCTGAATTCAATATATTATGTTTATTTTAACAAACTTATCAAAGCTGCTCTGGCATTTTCCATTTACAAGGGGCAATGTCAGAGTCCTAAACCAAATGCACATTTAAAGGCATTAGTGGCTGGACCACCCTAATGCTTTCCTGCAGTCTCACAGATCCACTGGCTTTGGTTTATGTTCATAGCTGAGACAAGAGAGTGGAAGCACAGGAAGAGTCCAACTGAGATCCAGAACCATTGTTACCTCAGAAATGTGCTACCATTTGGCTCAAAATGTTGTTTGGATGTAGATTTTCTTACTGAATTTATAATTTCAATCTTAGGGGTGCTCTCTGCCATAGATGGGTATGAAAAAAAAAAGAGCAAGGGTCATAGATAGAATACAAATAAAGACAGGGGGAAAATATGAGTGATGGAGCTGCCCAAGCTGTGAACCTCAAGAAGTGATGAGGTGCCATTTCTTGAGAAAAGCAAAATTTCAGAAAGCAAAGTGAGGTTGAGCTTTTCCTCCCCAATAAATGGGACACATGGCACAATGCCTCTGGGTCTGAAACTGAAGGCATCCTTTTTCCTGAGCCCAGAGATTTCAGTGGTTTTTCTTTACATGAAGGGGAGACAACTATGTTGAGAGTTTACACTCCTCTGTATTGCAGCACAGATGATGATCATACTTTGATTGCAGAGTCTAAATTTTCCTGGCACTTGGAGCAACCAGATCTTACAGGACATTTAATACCACACAATGCCTCTGGTGCATTATGCTTACTAAGCTTGATGATTAGAAATCTAGGATTTCAAGATAGATATGATGACATACCCATAAAAGAATGGTTTTAAAATCATTGAACTCAAAGTTATAGGTCATTCATGTATTTTACTATTATTAAAAGGACATTAAAGGAGAAACTTCCATCACATATTAATGCCAGTAAGAGCTTTATACATTTTCCATCTCAGCACTCCTTGAGAAGGAATTACTTTGGCTGCTACACCAGTTGCTAAGTATATGGACCATGCAGGCTCTGCAATTCTTTTTACAGTTTAGTTTTTAATTGAAAGAAATACCAAGCATGTGATAATAGCAGAAGGCACTCACTTACCCTATGACAATGCAGGAGATGGCAGTTCCCAAAAAGGCGTAGGTTAAAATTGATCCTAAGTTACGGAAAAAATGTCTCTGGGGAGGAAAGTTTGAAGGAAAGTCCTTTGTTATACAGTAAATAAAAAAGCATTCAGACCAAGTAGAAACACATCTAGAACTGTCATTTGTTACAACACATTTCTCATCTAGAAGATGGAGCAATATTGGCTACCTGAGTTATTTTGGAAATTACAACTTAAAGATGTTCAGTTTTTCCCCCCAGGTGGAATGCTATCAAAATTCCCTCTTCTTTATGTATCTGGCCAAATGTTTCAGGATCATGGCAGATTGGAAGTACCTGATGCAAATGGTATCATGACCCCATCCCTAGAACAAAGTCCTGATCAGGCAGGATATGGAACACAGGCTGTTCCTGCCTGCAGTTCACAGCACTCTGAGTGGTCTCTTCTGAAAACAGAGAGGCCTGAGTGCTGTGAACTGCACAATCAGATCTTTGCACAGGGACAGAAAGAGAGCAGAATGAGGGCCATGAATCATTCATTTTAATCCATTCCTTCCCAGGCAATGCAATTGTTAGCTGGTTGTCCTCTGTCACTGGCCTGTTGGGTCTAGAGAGCAGCAGCCACACTCAGACCCTTCTGTCACAAAGACACATACCTTCTTCAAACTATATCCAGCATGAAATATTATGGGTGGCAGCAGAATGTTGAAGAAGATGGAAGGATCAAAGGTCATCTGTTAGGAAGGACAAAAGAGAGGGTAAGGACAAATAAAGTAGCATTTAATTTGATATGATAGTTTTTTAATTGTGTCTTCTTATCAGGACTGATCTCAGGCTCAGCTCCACTGTTTGTGAGATTATTCTGAGGTGATTTTTTGCAAGTATAAATGTGTAGTTCCTTACAGCTTGTAGATGCAGACTACTACTTGAAAAGTATTCCTTCAGGAAGGAAATCAGTTGTGCTACATTACAAGGAACACATAAAAGCAGCCTAACCTGTGACAGCAGCTGCCCTACCAGACATCCAACTTGCCAGTCCCATGACATAACTCCTGGTTCAGACACGATCTCCTGGTCACTTCCAGGAAAGACACATCAGTAGTGTTGTGCCTCAGTTCCCCATGTACAGAAGGGTGATAAATGACCTACATCACCAAAACCAATGTAACATTTCCTTTGAAGGAAATGATTTATAAAATAGCCATTAAAAGTTTTAAAGCAATGCTAGAATGAGGAAGTGCACTGATCATACTGGCCTTCAACTTCTGGCACAGAGAAAGACCAAGGACATTGCTCAGCCATTGCAAGTCAATAGAATAGAACAGAATTATCTTTAAAATTACAGCATTGCTGGAGAAAAAAAAGCAAAAAAAGCCAGCTTAAATAAGCCTGTGTACTGCTCAGTGTTCTGTCAGTGGGCTGTATTATACCAATACTTTTAAGAGACAGGAGGTAATTAGTGCAAAGGCTTGCAGCTCCTTTGTTCAGATGAAGTGATATTTTAAGGCTATGGTATTATAGATTATTTTCCTTCAAAAGAGTAAGACCTGCCTACAGAATTACTTCTGCCTTCTTACTAACAGACAGCTTGATTCAATAAACAGGAAGTGAGAGCTGAGACTTTTTTCCATCCTGCTCACTTTGAATTATGAAGCTAAAAATTTTAGCTAAATTACCTGCCAGCAACCTTAGCTGTGCTGACACCATCATTGAAAACCTAATGAAAAAAGGATTTTCTTCATTTATGAACTAACATTCTCAAATGTTAATTTTGGAATTAATTCAGCAGATATGTTAAAATATCTTTTCTGGGGGCATCAGAAATCCTGACTGCGTGTTTTATTATTTAAAACATGTTCTGAAGAATACATGTTTGTAAGTCATGGCACAATCTATTCTCTCTGATAAAAGGCACTAAGTAAACACTTTTAGTGCAGTCAAAAGGGAATTACAGTTGTACAAAACCCAGAGCATGGTGTGATCATGCTTTCTGTTTTTTACATTAGTGCTTTTGCCAGTCAGGAAGGCTGCCAGGCATTGTTATTGTCTCCTAAAAACAGCTGAACTCATCCTCCTTTCCTTTTCTATTTATTTTCTTTTCAAGAGGGCATCTGCCAGGTAATTTTAAAGGAAAAACAAGTGAAATCCAGGCAGACCGAGGTCTGTGCAATAATTTAGAAGAACTGCAATTCACAGTTGAGACCCTCAAGAGCCTTCCAGCAAAGTGAGACTATAGAAACAAGATTGGGCAGTTCCCTGTAGGGGCAAGAGAAATTTCTGTGCAAGTCATTGCTCCTCCTCTCTCCTAAGTCAGCTCCAGAGCCAGGTCTGGTGAAGAGGATCAAATGTAATGGATTAGTACACGTGCCCTGGAAATGAAACACACACTTTGGCTGAGACAGAGCTGCAACTGCAACCAACTAGCAGGAAAAAGAATGGAGATTCAGCAAAACCTGATTAGTCTGACTGCCACAGTATTTTCCTGTCTCCACCCACCACAACTCTAATGGGCCTTGACAGTCTGGTTCTTTCTGAGAAGGGCAAGTCTGGCAGTAACAGCAGACAGGCACACAATGCTGCTGCATCAGCAAGAAATTTGAGCAGATGGTTAAATGCAAATTCTGCTGAGCTCCACAGTGCACAGTCTAAGCATAACTTAAAAGTTTTCCTAGCAATAATTGTATAATACACAGGATCATGCATTACTGTGCTAGACAAACAATAATATTTGGAAAAAAGCTAAATAATACATTGCACTATTGTAAAAAGCCATAGGTAGGGGCTTTGGAGCTTCATGTGAATATAAAATGTTTTTTAGCACAAAATGCAGGTTTACAAAGTGCTTCTGCACTCCAGTGTTCTTCAAATGGCTGCCATTGAAAAAAAAAAGTGAACATTATAAGAAGCAAATATTATGTGACCAGGGAAACATATACTAAAAAAGTGAATTTCTTTTTTTATATACTGGAAAAAGAAAGGGCCATGGCATTGTGAAAGACTCCTACACTTCCCTTGTTGCATCCAGCCTGAATTGCCCCAGTGCTGTCTCCCTACTGAGGACCACTGCAGGAGTGGAACAATGTATGAGAATGCTGTGATGAATTTAAGTGTACATTAAGTACATATTTATAAGTTTGTGTTTTGAAAAATGTTCAGAGTTTGCAGTTTCCTGTGCTATCCACAGGAGGTAACCTCCTTTTGCATTTTCCTGCCAGAGCAAGTCACTTTGAAGGCAGAGGAAAAATAAAGATATCAGTGGGGTTTATAAAGGTTTAGTGGCAATGAATCCAAGTTAGCAGCTGTGTCTGCAGTGAACTCAGTGTCTGCAGGAGCTGGGACTGCCATTTGAAACAGCTCAGGAAACCATTCTGTGAGTGCACAGTCAGCCTGGAGGTAAATGATGGTCAGGGCTCTACCACACTTCCTTTCCTTTACTGTTCTTCTTCCCCACCCTAAATTCAGAACAGACTCTCTCTCTGTCTCATTTTAACTTAAAGCTTGTTTTCCTCTCTCAAGCCTGAAAATAAAAACAGAGTTTAGAGCATAAATAAGATAAAATAAGATAACTTTTACCTTTTGAAGCATTGTATTGCCCTGGTGACCATTGACATTGTGGTGGCTGATCTCTCTTTTGTATTGATATTCATAGACCTGATTAGTTATATTAATAAGCAGAGTGGATGGCCCAGATTTCAGTTTTTCACATTCATAAACAGTACCACTTTCAACATCTGGTGATTTTGTCACATATCGTATAATTAATCCCATTACAAGGCCTGGAGAGTAAAGAAAAAAAGAAAAATTAAAGATATTCAAGTACTTTTAAGTATTTGATGCCACACATTTAGAGAAAAAATTAGCTCTGCCAAAACTAGGATACCTTTTCAGTGTTTCTACATCTACAGAACCTCTCTCAACACTTCATAGATGACCACAAAATATTCTCCCAAAATGGTAATTTCATTAGAATGCAGATGTTGGTTTGACATATGCACAGTCATACTCCTATTTTTGTGATCCAGTTGCTGGCATAATAATTATCCGAGTTTCTCATCCACTGCATTTTCAATAGTTATTTAGAGCAGGGAGATGTCTGCACAACTCCTGTGCTGAATTGAGCATATAAACATTAGCTGTGCTGTTGGGTATTTTACACACTTCATTTGTGGGGACAAAACTCTGACACATCCTCAGGCACATTCTGCTTTCTGTAGAAGATTGCATTTTTGAGACTGCAAAAACATAGAAAAATAAAATCAGGAAGAAGGGAAGGAATTATAAGACTATCTACAATGTAGGGGTCTTACAGGTATTTTGTTTCCCATTACATTTAACAGAAAGGAAAATGTATTTCTGCAGCCATCCTCTGGACAGTATGACTCTTTCTGTGGGCTCTACTGGGAGGCTGCATGTTTATTTTAGGAGAGGTAATATTTAGCTAGATAATATTACTGAGATTATTTCCACCCTCAGAGACTTTGATTTGGTTTCAAATTTAATTTCCATATTTCTTTTATGTCATGTATGCTTTCAGTCCCATGTATAGATTGAACAGCTTTACAGCTACTAATTATTAGCATAACCATAAAATGCTAAGAATGCTCAGATGAAATATTGATGGAAGACACCTAAAAATCTAGATAGATATACTTACTATTAAAAGACAAGAAAGAAATTAAATTACATGAAATATCAGAGAAGCATCTGCAAAATCTAATGTTACAGTTTCAGTTTGATCCCATAATCAGAAGGGGAATACAAGTGATCACAAGGACCTCAAGAATCCTTGTTTTTGTCACATCTCCTCCTAACAGGGACTTTTGGAACTGCAGATTCCTGACATAGCGGTAAGTCAGGTTTGTAGCTTCTTGGAGGGATGCTGAGTAACAGCTGTAGTGTCTGTTTTAGTGTGTGGAGGCATTTGTGCTTGTTTAGAATCTATTGTTTAGTGTGGTTGCTTTCTAAAATGATGGAGGATTTCAATAACTGTAGAAAATCCCAAGACCTCTCTCCTATGTTACACAGCATTCATGCAATAAATCAGATAATAAATCTAGCTATAGTAAAAGACAGAATTCCTCAAAATGTTAGGGGAAGGTATGTGTATGTAAAGGGAAGCAAGCACTGCATGTGCCACTATGAAATATGACTTCCACAGTGCTCAGCCCAGATGTCCAAAATCATGAGTCAGAAACCAGGAAACCATTCATTAGTTAGAACTGTCAGGGTTTTCAGCTTATTTTTATTAGATTTCCTCCAGAAGAATCACATAATTAATTTTTAAATTCAATTTCAAATATGTTAAAAATTCAGTTTAATTTTATAAACTTGATATTTTTCATTCTCTGGAGCAGAAAATGTACAGGTTTTCCTTTACCATTTTTTTTCCTTATGACTCAGTGTTTTAAACTACTACTTCTATTACCAGGAATTACATAATCTGCTCAGGTAACAGAAATGTTTTGTAGACATTCACCAAGGCCTGTGTGAGGACACTGGCAGAAAAAGACTATTCAAAAAGTGTTTTAAGCACATTTATTTAAATGCAGCATTGAAACAGAAAAGGCTGCCACTAATATTACAGATTTCTTTAAAAAAGTCTCAACTGTTCTATGAAGTCAGATCTTGCAGCAAAATCTCACTCTAACTACAGCTCAGTCCTGCTTCAACTGAAGGCAATGCAGGTTCTCCAGGTTCTTCAGTAGAAGCAGGATAACATCATTAATTACAGATGTGATCATTGGTGGGATTTTTTGTGTCAAATTGTGTCAAACTCCTGAGCTAAACAGGACTGTTCTTTCCCCAGGATTTAATCCAGTCAGCTGTTAAATGCTTTCTGTAGTAGTACTCAGGGAGGCAGTTTTAGTCATCACTTGATTTTTCCAAATTTAAGGTTTTATTTCAAATTTCTAACTTTCAACAATGATGTTCCTCTCTTCACCTCACCACTACAAAATTTCTGCCTTAATTGTGATTTTCCTATGTCTCTTCCGAGTCCCAACAACCTTTCTTCATCATGAATGTTCTAATCAGGAAGACAATGAAATACTGTTTTATGGAGGTTCAGAGATTTCTCCTTCTGGCACCTGTTCCATCCATTTCTGCCTGTGAGGTATGGGGATACTCAGAACACACCATCAGAAGGCAAACAGAATTATTTCACACAAGAGGCTTGCTGGATTTAGAAGGTATAAGAATGAGAGTGTTCATCATTAGACACCTCCAGCAAAGCTGAATCCAGAACTGATTGTGCCTCACTCCCAAATAATTGGGATGCTCAGGAGGGGCTGCAGAGGGTTTCTGTGAGTCAGCTTTCCCTCTGCACACCTGTCAAAACCTGTCCCCTCCAAACCTGCTGAAACACCTCTAGCCACAGTAACCCAAAGCCATTTCATGTCAGCACCACAATGGTTCTTCTGTCATTCAGCCTTTTTGTGTTTTCATTCCTGTCTCACCAACTAATGCCATGGAGCACAGCATTGAAGGCTGGTACACCTGCAACCAGCCCCACCTTCACCTGGGGGGTACCACCCACTCCCTAGGGGTGACAGTTACTCAAGCTGAGAACAATTTCCATTTAAATTTGGTAATTAACCTCCCATATAAAAGGCACAGCTTGAGTTGCTGCTGGTTCGGCTTTTTTGTTGAAGTTCAGTTCTGGCTGCCTACTTGCCAGAGTATTTTAGCCTCTTACTCAGTGCTGTGGTGGTACCTCTGTGTGAGCCTGACACCTGAGTTGTGGGGAGAATGAACAGTTTGGATGCTTGCACTCAGTTTGTCACTGCACAGCTCTGGGTTATTGCTGCACTGTGAAGAGCCCTGACTTACATCTTACATGGGGGATTTGGTGCCTAATGGTTTATGGCTGAGGCATTTAAAGCTGTGTGGCCTGGCAGGAGGTGGCTGCAGGCACTTTGGTGTTCTCTTGGCTCCTTGTGTCTTCTCCAGGCCCAAGAGGCCACATCCTGGGGCTGGTGTTCTGAGAGGGCTCACCTGCTCTGACCCCAGGCAAGGGGCTTTGTTTTATCAGTGCCGCTGTAGATCATCCCCACACTATTCCTGAGTGTGCTCTTGTATAGGAAACTCTCTCATACCCACGTGTCTCCCTGGTCTACAGGAATCAGGAATTATTGAGTTTACTATTAGTGGTCTGTTTATCAAACCCAACTACAATGTGAAGGGAAACTTGCTTTCTGAGACTCAGGAAAACCAAGGAATGAATGAATGAAGGTAAGTCTGTATTCTTCCTTGTTTTTTGTGAGTGATTTTTCAGTTTGGTCTCAAAACAGACAAAATAATTTGAGTCTTTAAATACTTTCAAGCTAAATGCCTTGCTGTATATATATATACACACAAAAACATATATGCACTTTGTGAAATAATGTTGAATTAATTCTGCATTATTCAAAATGCTTTTTTTTTTTTTTTTTTTTTACTTTGTGGAAAGATTTAAAAATTAAAATATAGCTGTACTTATTGTTGAACCATTGCTTTGCTTAAAAAAAAATTAATGCACCTCAGTTATTTAGGTTTCTAAACAGATAGTATGGTTGTGTTTTTTTTCTAGTTGGAACTATTCAGCCTAAAACTGAATTCTGCTACTAAGCCTATAAAATAAAAAAACCTAACCCTAACCCCCCCTTTCATTTGTTCTCTACTTTAAATAGCACTTTCTATCAGGCTGTGTTCTGTTTGTGGCTGTTCAGCATTTTGCAGTAACTGTAAAACTTCCTGGTTTTGTCTTTCTATGTTTGTTTTTTTCTTTTCCCCTGGTGTTCCTCACACTTTGCCTTCCCTGTCCTCTCCACTGCTGCTCCCCTGAGGGCACAGTCGAGGAATGGGGCCCACCTGCCATCCTGTGGGACACACTGTGCAATAAGTGCCCATGTCCTATCACTTGAAGGCAGTTTCTCAGTTCATTGGATTGCTATTCACATATCTAATAAATAGCTCAATGGGCTGGAGCAAAGCAAACTGGCAGGACTGGGACCTCTTTTTGTGCAGAAAAGGTAGAAATTAGAATTGTTTGGAAAGGGAAGGAGAAATTAAGTGAGGGCAGGACTTGTCCCACTGTCAGTGCTTGCTTGGTGCCATGAAGATTTTCTCCCAAAGTGGCTGCCAGCTGATCTGACAACCTCTCTTATGACCTCTGAAATTTCACTCTTTTTAATGTTTCCATTCCATGGTGTTAAAGATAACTATGCCCATATCCAAAGTTTTGAAGGATAAGAAGGGGCAGTATTAGCTTTTTAGATCCTACAGATAAGCTTTTTCCTGTTTGAAGACTGCCATCAATAATGCAAGACTAAAGAGATAGTTTATTTGCAATAATGAGGAATGTTTTAACAATTCAAAAGCTTTGTCCTGCTGAAGCACTCATCTCTTAACCAATCCAAAGAATATGAGCAGGTTATCCTCATGATGTGCAGAGTATGTTCTGGGCAGGCAGCAAAACAGAATCAAATGATGACTAAAACTCTATTTCCACACTTGTTTATTTTTGTTTTGTTGTATTCTCCCATATTTCATTTCTGTTTTGGCTTTTGTCTCAATCTTGAGGAAAATGCCATCAACTGCACATGCAAACAGCACAACAGTGAGAAGGAAGCTCCTGCAGTAGAGGCACCCATCTTAACAAAAGCAGCTTTGGGTATTGCACTGCTAGAGGATGTGGTGTGCACAGAATGTGTCAGGCTGGTACTCAGGTAATGGCTGAGATGTTGATTTCTATCTTCCATTTTGACAGTTTGCCTTCCTGTATGTATCTTATGGCAGCAGAGTCTCTCAGTGAAACAGCACTAAGAGTGCCAAGAGAAGTCATTACACATGTAAGTGTGAGCCATTAAACCAGAGAGTACTTGGGGAACAATGCAGAAAGTTCTGTGTGAGAGTGAAATGCAACATGGCAAAACTTCATCAAAGATTAGAACTAGGCAGGCAAGCTAGAGTTACCCTACAATGACAGCATTGAGAGCAAACTCGAGACACATTCTTCAGTGTGCTTTTCAAAGGCACAGAGCAAAGCCAAGAGAAAGCTCTGAAGATTTAAACTTTATTAGACAGCATGTCTGTATCCACAAGGCTCCTTAGACTAACAGCTTTGAACGCTGGACAAACCCAAGCAGGCTGTTGTTGTAAACAGTGAAGTCCCCAGCTCTGCTGCCTGGGCACAGGGAGCAGAATGCACATGCTGGGGACAACCAGCTCCTCACAGCTGCTCCCCTACCCAGGCAGCCTCTGGCTACTTCAGGAGAGATGCTGTCACATCATTATTTCACCCCACACTTAGGGAGCTGATGACATTTAATTCAGCACATTTCTGAGCTTTGTCAGCACTTGATCTCAAGTGCCTCATCATAAATATGCAACTAGTCCAGTGTTATGCTGGCCCTTGAATTTATACTCACCATAAAGCATAGCTCCTCCAGTTTCATGCAGAAAGCGGAATCGATGGTTTTTGAACAACCAAATTGTTAATATTGTAAGAATGAGCAGAAAGTTAAAGATTAGTAGTTCCACAGCTCCCTGATGATAAAAGTGATCTTCATCTTTCACTGATACATATTTCTTCAACTTCTCCATTTCATTCCCTTTATAGAAAGTTTGTGAAAAATAAAAGAAGAAAAAAAAAATCCTGGGAAGGAAAGTGTTGTCACCTTCAGTACAAAAACTCCAGATAGTACAGAAATTCACAGCAAGCACATCTGTTTCATTTGCAGCCTCATGGTGAAGTGCCCCAGCTCAGAATTCAGCTGGATTCTAGTTACAGCTTCCTGTTTCTCTCTTAAAGCTGCCCTGTCTCATTTCTAACGGTGCGATTGTGTCGCTGGACTGCGCTTGCTCTGGCTGTGGATGCACAAATTGCCTCCAAGGCTCAGACTCTCCATCTCTCAAATTCTGTTGCAAAACTCAGCGTGCGTTCATCATGTTTTCTTCCTGTAGTTTACAGCCCAATCTGAATCCTAGGAGTCCTATTTTGTCTTCAGAGTTTAAGGTGGAAAAAATTATGTTAAAAAATGGCATAAAAACTTCCACTGCACTTTGGAAGTTTAAGCACCTTTCCTCTTTCCCACTTCCCCACGTTTAGATGTAAATCACATAGAAAAAAGGTGGCACTTCTATGGTGCAAAGACAGAAGAAGAAAACAAATCAGGAATATGGATTTCAAGATTTAGGCACTTGTATTGATCCTGCCAGAAGACAGATCTCTATAAAAGCAAGGGTCCAATTACCTGGAATTAGAAGTACTTAAAACCCCCCCTATTGAACAGAATAAAATGTTTGCACTTTTTGATTTATTAAGTTCATTATCCCATTATGCCAGAAAAACAGTAAAAAAACTCTATGGATAGCAAATACTCCTGGGCTTTTGTCTCTGGTCAAGGCTGCTATGCATTTACATACAGAGAATTTCAAACAAGCTCTAGTCTTCATCAGAAAACCAGCAATTTTTATGCTCATTACAAAAGATAATCTTCTCATTGTTTGATGTTAAATTCTCATAGCTTTATTTTAAAACACATTTTGGAGTTAAATAATCTGTACAAAATCTGTTCCAAGTCAGGTAGGTGTCAAAGGGGAATAACCCAGGAATACCCAGCTGTCCATATCTCCGTGGTTTTGGGGCTGTAGCTCATAATAGAGTGTTCCCAGGGAGGCACTGGTTCTTCCATCAGTCTAAATATTTTGTTCTCAATAATCAATCAGTTTTGTCTTCTGCATAAGCAGATTTCAGCCCCTTTTTTCTTTCACTTTGTAAGAATTATTTTCCTCCTAATTTTTTTTCATCAATGCTTTTTCTTTGCTTACCAGATATTTTTTTTAATCTCTGTCTCGTTCTCTACATGTTTCACTATTTTCTCTCCTTTGTGTTTCCCTCATTTTCTCTTTCTTTCTGTAGGTTTACCTTACAATTTGCAAACGTGATCAGGGTTAAGTCAAAACTGTATTTCTCAACTAATTTTCAAGGGACCCTCAGTGAGATGCAAAGCTGGCAGAAACCAGAGGACACCTCCCAAACTAATGAACTGCAACTCTATTTTAAGCAAGAGTAACAATTCTAACTGGTACTTTTTGAGAATTATTCAATACTGTATTTTGAATTAAAAAAATAATGTAAGGGAATTTGGTGTAGCAATTTCATATACAACTAATGCAACTGTTTAAAAAAATGTTAGTCACATAGCCAAGGCTTATAGCTTTCACAGAGGAGAAAAAAAAATAAAGGCTTGATATGGTTTTCATAGTCCCAATTTGGAAATGCCAATGACCTCAATTTTGTGGGTCTGATCATTCATCTCCAATGTGGAAGTATCAAAAGCAAGCGAAAAAAAAAATCAATTTAAAAGAATCACATTCAGTTTCTTTTGCAATAAAACCCAAGGATTTGTTTATTATGAAAGCCACTTCATTTCCACCCTGTGAAATAAGTAATTTGCAGGCTCTTGTAATAAAATCAATGGAGAAGCAGCCTAAAACAGTGAAAGAAGGTAATTTTGTTCTGAAAATCCCAGTGATTGGACTATTCACTTCAGATTTGGGAGACCAGGCTCAGGTTTTCATTTTAATTTACCCAAACTCATATTTTTCACTAAGTAACAAGGAGTTCCTTAGTCTTACTGCTAGAGCAGGTGTGGTATGAAATATCTGAAACACATAAGTGTCAATTTCCAAAGCTGCCTTTTCTCTTTTGCAAAATAGGGCAGATTTATAATCCTATCTCAAAAGATAATGTGATACGTGTTTGTGAAGCAATCACACGTTACAGCAATTTGCAGCAGATCAGAGCTTGAATGAGAACAGAATTTCAGGTTTGCATCAGGCTTGCAGGTGTTGGACTTGGGGCTTAAACTCTGCCAAAGCTCCTTCCATAATTTTGGGAAGGTCTGGTTCTAAACAGCACTCACCATGTCACAGGACTGGGGTTTCAGGTGTTGCTTTCCTCTCAGAGGTGTGAGACAGTTTCAAATCAGCTTTCCAGACCCAGCCACTCTTCATAGTTGCAGCTTCTGAGGAATCCAGAATTGACATCTAAAAACTATTGTTTTTCTTTGCATTCTCAACCACTGTATTCATCATTACTATACACTATCTGAAATATGCCAAAGATGGAATGGTTAAGGCAGAATAACTGTTGCAAGATGTTTGTAAGTGATAATTTTATACATGCATTGTTGGGGGAAATGTATTGGCATGAAGTAGTGCAGGATCTTAGGAATGCTTTTTGCTTTTAATAATCTGGTGTCATTTGGTACCTATAGACTACTTAGAGGGATGCCTCAAATGTTCAGTCATACATGGAGAGCAGCTAATGTGAAAGCTGTGGGTCATAGAAGAGCCTGCATGAAATGTTTCAATCCTGTTAGTTTTGTTACACCCTGTCCTGACTGGTATGGCTGTATTATTGTTCTCTGTATGCCATGCGATTTTATTAGAGGTACACAGAGCCAGAAACCTCTTGAGCTAAATTAAGCCATATCACCTCTCCAGTGTTTCTTAAGCAAATTTTTTGTTATGTACAGTTTTGTAAAGAATGATGAGTCTGAGTAGATTAGGAGCAGCTCTATAGAGAAAAGAGAGCTACCCATGGAAAATACACAGAAAACCAGTATGGACTCAGAAAACCTTTACCTGGGTTTCCAGTAAGGTCTCACTTGAAAAACTGTTGGCAATGTGACCAGTTAATGTTTTTTTTTTGTGCTCAGGTCTTTCCACATTATTTCAGATAAACCTGCTTTTAGGGATATTGAGGCCCTGCAGAAATTTCTCTTCCTAAAAATGGAATAACTTCTTTCCAAGTTCTGGTTGGTTTGCAGGTTAATTAGGAAAACTGTCTGTTGCAACAGCTGCATCATATTTCCAATATTGATAACAGATGATAAATTAAGAAGGAAGAGAACTTTATAAAACAGAAAGGTACATTTTGACTTTAAAACAGGCTACCAGGTGAATAAAGAAAGTATTCATGGGGAAGATATTTTCAATATTACTTAACAGGTGAAAGAGAAAAACAAGATTTTGTGGAAGGCAGTATGTCAAGTAATTCTCATAATACTATGTTCTTACTACAAATAGTATTTGCTTCATCTCCTTTGGCATGTAATTTTAATGAACAAGAGGCAGCAGTCTAATTTTCTGTGTCCACCTTATCAACTCTATGGATTTCACAGAATAATAATCCTTAGCTTGGCAGATGTAGAAGTCTGCTGTAATAGGAACTCTCAAGATGGAATAAAAAGCAAGAGGAGTCTTGTAAATCAGTAGAGGGATTCTCACCTTGGAAGATACAAAGTCAGAAAAGGAGCATAATGTAAAAATGGTAATAAATTATAGTTAGTGGGAATTCCAAGCAAAGATACTGTGCTTTAGCACCACTGGCAGCTCTGCCAGCATAGGAAAAATACAGACAACAGTAAAAGCAAACACTGAAAACAAGTGCACCTGTATATATAATTAAAAGACCAAGCCAAACCAACTCTGAACCTGAGAAGTCAATCACTTTGTGAGTACACAGAGAAAAAGTGTTCTGTCACAGCTCACTTGCCTGAAACCCCCAGACAGACTGGAACAGGATTAGTGGGATCACAAGTGGTTATCCTTCTCTAATCCATTCCAGCCAAGAAGATCTGCCTTGCTGGCTCCTGCTCTGATACAACTGCCCAGGAACCACTGTGGGCTAAGGCCACTTAAGGCCACTAAGCCCACAGTGGTGGGCTGAGCATCATTTATAACTGCCAGGCCTCTGTGCATTTTAAAATTCCTTCTTCTACTGCTTAGAATAGTCCTCCTATGAAACCAGTTTTTGCTGGTTGCTTATTCTCTCTTTTTTGTCTGAGGTCAGACTCTGGTTCTTATTTGATATTGCTGGTATTCAATCTACATGGGTCACAGAGCCTGTAGAGACAGAAATAAATCCACATAATCTATGTATCTCTATGTTGCAGCTATTACACTTAGCTGAAAAATAGCTTTAAGAATAATTTCTGCTCACTGGAATACAGCTTTCTATCCAGAAGATAAAATCTGGTTTGTTTTTTTTTTTTTTCCTCTTTGGTTCGGAGGCTGTTTTACTGATTTATTAAAATACTGTACTAATTATGATGAATACACATTGAATTGAGTGGAACTGGACTTTTAATCTCCCAACACTTGTGATCCTTCTGCTCATATGTCACTGTCCAGAGGCATTGTATCAACACAGGAAAATCTTTTCTCCCCTTGGAGCATGAGTAAATTTGATGCACCCTGTGATGTAACAACCAGCTCATGCTGGAATCTGCCTTCTGAGACCAAATTCAGTTTAGACAGAGCTGAAAGGCTCATGTGTGCTTTTCTCACTGATAAGACAGAAATGCCAGCATGTCTGAAGAAATAAAAGCTTCAAAAGACAGGAAGCACTTTGGTTCTATGAGTAGTTACAGGAGAGTTAATCTGTTTAGACAGTTTCAGCCACCAGGTTCAGAACGAAATTACTTCTTACAAAATTGAGGAAAACTAATATTACCTGTTTATGCAGTTAAAATTAATCCACACAATTGAATGTCAGGATTATGAAAGAAGTATTTCTAGGTTTACTTCTGTGGGTTTAATGCTCATTGTCAGCTTGAACTGCTGCCCTGTGGTATTACTTTAAATTTTTAATAAATGAAAAAAAAAATCTAGATAATTTTTATCATTTTATCAATTGT